TCTTCCCTATCTTAAGAATGTTGAAGTAGAGGTCTAACACGCCTTCCCCCCAACCCCCACCCCCAAAAAAAAGTAAACCCCATTGTGAAGAAAAAAAAAAATGGAATGAGAAAGGGAAACCAACACCAATGCAAAAATGAAAAGGGAAAAATCTTCATCTTTTGAACTCCCAAAATCCAAAAAGTTCCTGACAAGAGGCAAAAATTTGAAAATGGAAGAATAGGCGAACTGCACAAGTGACATCAGAACGAAAAAATTGAATGCAACAGGCAAAAGGGACCACAATGAAGATCTCATCGGAGCAAAAATAAAGGAGATCACAGAAAATTCATAGGAAGAAATATAAAACGAGAAGATTTTACAGAAATCCTGAAGGATCTGCAAGCTAAAATATATCGAAATCAAAAAACAAAAAAGAATAACCTAGAAAGGGAAAAAAATGTAGAAGAAACAAAATGATAAGACATACCCAAGTGAGAGAACATGAACGAGATCACACGCATACCATGGAACAGAGGTGTCTTTATCAGGGTCCTTGGCTTCCGCCATTAACAAACCGAAAATGAAACAAGAAACACACAGGGACCACCAACAGAGAACGGGGAACAGAGAAAGGAAATGAAATGAAAACGAAAGGAAACGAAAGCGACCGACCCAGAAGGATAAAAAATGAAAGAAAAACAAAAATAATATTTACTACATCAACAAAGCAATGTTCTTCAGTAACCGATTTTTGACCAAACACCATCTTATCTGGCCTGCTCATTATCGAAAGCCATAAAAGGGCATCTGGGGAGCTAAATATGGGAAACAAGGGAAAGGTATTCATTAAATGCAATAATTTTGTACGGACTCGGTGTATTGTTTCTCTTTCTTTTCATTTTTTTTTTATGCCAAACAAGACTCTACACTCGACACGGTTGGTGACAAGTGGAACGAGCTCTGCAATTCTCCTCTGAGTGAAGGAGAGTGTTCGTGAGAAAAAAAAAAAAATTCAAGCTTTTTGATATGTGAAAATTCTAAAGCTATGAATTTTACACACCCATTTCCTTTAACTTTCCCCTGCAAGCAGAACCTATTTTAATAATTTTTTTCATTTGAGACAGTCTTGCCGGCATTTTTTTTTCCGAGAGAGAGGGGGAGTTCCAAAAACAGAGGAAAAGTTGAATCATTGTCGGGAGGGGGATGACGATAACCCACTATTTTCTATTATTTCGGTTTATCTCCTCATACTTTTTATTATTTTCATTTATTTCCTCCATGGACGAATGTTCTTACAGTTGCACCCCTCTTGTCGTATGGCTTCCGAGATAAAACCAAAAAAAGGTTGCAAATTTAATTTTTGAATTAGAAAAAAAAAATTAAAATCCAACTCTAGACGTTAATAATATTAGTTTGAGGTGTGAAATATTAGTAAATTTATATATTATATATATATATAATGTACAGTTCAATTTAAATTTATAATTTTTTATTAAAAATTAAATAATTAATAATTTTTAAATGTACAAATTATTTATTTACAATTAATGATAAACTCTAGTTATTGGATTTGGAGAAAAAAAATAATAATGAATTTATATATATCTACATAATTTTTATTAATAATTACGAGTTATGCATAGAAAAATATTAGTTGTTCTAATACCATATATAGAGATTAATGGATGACTACATTTTAGATTTTTATTTGTATAATTTTTTAATAAAAATTAAAATAAGTAAATTATATTCTTGATTTATCCTAATATGTGATTTAGATTACATAATAATTGCTAATCTTACATTACATTCTAATTAAAAACATATTCACATTTTAATTGGGATGTTAAGAAATTAATCAGATTTTTATAACTTAAATCCCCACAAATCTGACCATGAAAAATCGAATTTAGAATCTGATAAAAGTAATTTACCTAAACTTCAATTAATTACTTTCAGGATCTAATCATGTATTTGGATATTGTATTATCTCAGAAGAAAATTACTATAATATAAAAATTAATTGCATCCTTAATTACCCGGAGTTGCTTACCGAATCTCCCTGTAATTCGTCTTAATGTAATATTAATTTAATTACCTTCATTAATGTAATAATAATCAAGTTATATATATATATATATATACATATATTATTATATTCACCGAATATTTGTCTCTGTGCATGCGCGTTCTTTTCGCTGGACATTCCCTGCCAACCCGGTTATTTTGAACAAATTTTTATTTTTATTTTAATCAAAGTTTTGAGAATATTAGATAACAATATATCATTTAATCATTAGATTTATAAATTTACAATTAATCCCCTATTTATAAGAGTATTTTGTCAAAATAAAAATATTTTTTAAATTAATAGATTTATAAATTTAAATACGTAATCTCGTATTGAATCAATAAAAAATATAAACGAAAGTATATTAGAATCAATCGCAAAAGAATTATTTGCACCCGACAATAGAATTTTCTGAATCAATACGATACCTTCAAAATTAATTTTTTATAGTGAATAAATTTAAAAAAAATATAATGATAATTATGTGATTCGGTGATCATAATTAATTTTTATATTGAGAAATTTTTATAACTTTTATTTCATTTGTGATAAAATAAAAATATTATAAAAATAATATATTTACATTATAAATTTATACTTAAATTAAATTCGATGCGATCCAATATTATTTAATTATTTTAATACGTGTACATACACAAACTATTTCTTATCGCTACAAACACCCTTAAAACTAACTATATTATTTAACTCGTATCTAGATATATAATTGGTAGGTACAAGTCGGGTCGGGTCAATCTAGCCTGTTGCGTAGCCCAGTCCACTTTGAATTGGGTTTCATGAAGCGGGTCGATATCCGGTATCGGTTTGGATTAGCACGGGCTTAATGCATTCGATAATTATTATAATCAATTAATTACATAAATTAGTTTAAGAACTTAATTAATTAACAAAGTCCCTTTTCAATTAAAATTAGGAGAAGAAGAAAAGTATTTATTACTTCCGGGTACGAAGTTATTAACCTTAAAAAATTACTGGTGTCTTATTTTACTACCTTCTTCCTCAGAATTGCGATATAAAGGTAAATAATTTTATTACTTGATCTTTTCTTCTTCGTCTTCTTCAACCTGTTTTTGTATGGTCTTGATTTTTCTGTGTATGACAAGATCGGATGGCATTGTTGGTAAATTATTGACTAACTCTTTCTAAACAGTCACAAGATTTGCTCATTCTCAAAACCATGACCAGATTTTTGTCAGATTTCCCAGCTGTTTGTAAAACTTGTTGTGTGTATGTATGTGTATGTATCTGTGTCTCTGCGTGTGTATGTATGGGTAGACGTGATTCTTTTATATCAAAGTACGTGGAGAGGAGTTTCATGAAATTTGTATGGTTTAGATTATTATATATCGATGAATGTTATAACACTCAGATAAATCACAGTCTCGTGTAATTAATTATACATAATTTTCATAATTCAGTATATTGTAATTTTTTTTTAAAATTTTAAGTAAAATTTATTATTTTTGGAAAATTAGATTATAATTTTTAATACCCTTTTTCTCGAATTTTAAGTTTTTTATTTTGAAGTTTTTGGATCATCATCAGAACATATCGAATTTCTTTGAAAGAACTGGAATTTCATAAATTTTCCAACTTAAAAAAAAAATTATATTCGAATCAAAACTCTACTATGTATTGATTTTTGAAATTATTTTATTTGTTTAATTTATAAATTAAGAGATAAATTTGTATTAAAGTTTCAATTCTAATCAATTGTATCTCTGTATATATTAGTTTTAAAATAAAATAATAATTTCTATAACCAATAAATGTGTGTATATATAAAACTAATAAATAATAATCAAAAATTAAAATACATATTTGGTAAGATTTATTTATCCACTTAAGCAAATTAATTAAAAATGAGTTTAAATGGCAAATAGTTATTTTAATTAATTAAGGCGAGTAAGCATGATCAGTCATATCCACGTCAAATGGACCCAATCCACCCTGCCGCATGCATATCAACTGGAGGTATGAAGACAATGATCAGCTGGACTTTCCAGGATACCAAACAAATAAGATTTTCTAATACTTTCCGATCGTCCTATCTATGGATTTGCTTTTTTTTAATCCTATTTTAAGCGCACATGGAAGGTAAACCGTGAAATGCTAAACGTAAAATTTCCATTCGGGTTTTGTTTATATCTGATCAGATGTGTGATTCTCAGACTGCGCGTTTGGTGATTTTGAATTCAGCATCACCCATTTGTTTGGTTTAATCAGTGAAGGGGACTGATCAAGGACAGAGGACGAAGAAGAAGAAAAAGAAGTAAAAATGGCGGATTCAGAGAATGTGGAGATTGTTACAGATGGAAATATATCAGAGCCGTTGTTACAGACAGAGAAGGAATCAGAAGCAGAATGCAGGAATGGGGATGACGATAAAGAGCTTTTCATGGTTTACCTCAGCACGTTTGTTGCAGTTTGGGGAGCTTTCGAGTTTGGTTCATGTGTAAGTTATAAAGCATGTTCTATACCTGTTTCAAAAAATGTCATACTGTAGATTTCAAATTTTGCCAAATTCTTTGTTCAATAATTTGCTTTGGGTCTCCACAGGTTGGATATTCTGCGCCTACCCAGTTTGGCATTATGAATGATCTTAACATGTCTTATTCCGAGGTACGTTTCCAGGTTTCTGAAATTTGCGTATATAACCGGTAAATACAATATAGATATATATATGTTTTTCTGATGAAAAGTTCATTGTTGTTTGCAGTTTGCAGTCTTTGGATCTATACTAAACATTGGTGCTATGATTGGCGCCATTACATGTGGGTGGATTGCTGACTACCTTGGCCGAAAAGGAGTATGCATAACAGAAATAAATATATTCACACCACATGATCATATGAGAGAGTAGGCAAATTAGCATCAAGTTATAGTCTTCAATCTCCTCAAACTTGCTGTTTTGTTTTGCTTTTTCTTCGATGACTGCAGGCTATGAGATTGTCATCTGTAATATGTACAGTAGGATGGATTATTATCTTCGTCTCCTGGGTTCGTGTTGATTATTTACTTTAACTGATTGATTATTCATATAATTTTGATGAAGTTCCTTCCAGTAAAACACTGCTTTACACTATAATCCTTTCTCTTATAGGGGTCATTTTTTCTAGATTTTGGGAGATTTTTAACAGGTTATGGCATTGGCATTCTGTCTTATGTGGTAAGCTTTTTCTTCTTGCTCAGCAGATTGTCAAAAGGGTAACATGTAAATCAAGAGCTGATAAACACCTTTTGCTTTCTTTTAAACTAACAGGTGCCAGTATTCATTGCGGAGATAACACCAAAAACCCTTAGAGGTGCACTAGCAGCAGCAAATCAGGTACCAAAACTAAATTGAAAATTATCTCTTCATAGTAATGTTTCCTTTTATTGAAGCCAGTTTCATAGCAGTGGCTAGCATAAACGTTGAAATCAAGCCTGCTGGTTTTGAAATTTGCTAGTTCTATATAGCCTCTTATTAACAGCCTATCTTCTCTGCAGCTCTTCATTGTTATTGGACTAGCTGTTGCCTTTTTAATTGGAGCATTTGTTTCTTGGAGGATGCTGGCTCTTACTGGTATTGTTATTTTATCTGATCCATGTGCCTGCCTCCATTTTGATTTTTACATCATGAAATATGTGAAACGTCAAATAAACAATTTCTCAAACAGGGAGCTGATGATTCATAGTTTGGTTTTTGTAGGAGTTATCCCATGTGCTTTTCTGTTTGTAGGACTTTTCTTCATTCCAGAGTCCCCTAGATGGCTGGTAAGATTTACTTGTTACAGATATTGTTCTTCTTTCCTGAGCCAACTCTTCAAACTCTCAGAATCTGGATCTGTGTACCAAGTTTTACAAGTAAATGCAGTTTACTCTAACTTTTTCCCGACAGGCAATGGTTGGTCGCCAAAATGAGTTCAGGGTTGCTCTCCAGACTCTTAGGGGTCCTCATGCTGATATTTCTAGAGAAGCAGATGAGATTCAGGTACTGAATATTGACATTGTTGAGATTATCCTTTATGTTTCTAACTTGTTCTGGTGTAATCCATATACATTCTATAGATAGCTTATCTCTTCTCATTGTGTTCTCCTTCAATAGGAGTACTTGACAAGTCTTTCACACATGCCAAGAGCTACGGTATTAGATTTGTTTAATAGAAGAAACATTCGATTTGTCATTGTAAGTCACATTATCTATCTTGTAAATTGATTTCGATTATGTAGGAATCTGGAAAGAAAAAAATATTCTCTATCTCAAACCTCACTAGAGATTTAAAATATAGGTTGGAGTTGGACTAATGGTGTTCCAGCAATGCGTGGGAATAAATGGAGTTATCTTCTACGCTGGTCAAATTTTTGTATCTGCTGGTAAAATAGTTTCCTAAGCATTAAGTATAAAAATTCTAGTGGCTTGAGGCATCAGAGACATGAATATTTTTTTCTTCTCATGTGCTCCCCCCAATCTCGGAAGTATTCTTTACTCGGTTCTACAGGTTTTGATCTCCTTGTTTTCCCATATTCTTTATTTTCCTGGTTGTATATTTTGACAGATTGATGACATATATATATATATATATTATATTTCCCCTTTAGGTTATTGTTACTGGACTTGCTGCAACCATGTTAATTGACCGAGCTGGGAGAAGACCTCTTTTAATTGTAATGACTGCAACTATGATCAACTTTTGAAACCCTCCAAAAGATTATACTTACAGAAACAAACTTAATTAATTAAATACTCGTTGCTTTTTCAATTCAGATTTCTGTTTCTGGGATGCTCCTGGGTAGTTTACTGATCGGAAGCTCCTTCATTTTAAAGGTAGCCAATCATTATCAGACTCAAGTGACAACTTAGTTTTCTATTAGGCAATATGGGTTAGTTCCTTACTGATTATCTATTCATTTTCCAGGCAAATAATTTGGCACTTCCCTTGATTCCACTCCTTGCAATTGGCGGTGTCCTGGTATGAATCAAATTATACATTTAGGACGTTTTTGTTTTGTTTTCTTTCCAAACCGAATAATGTAAGGATAATTGTAGACAAATGAATCAAGATTCTTTCTATTTTAACTTATGCTTTTTTTAATCAGTTTTCAGAAAAATTGGGTTAACTATAGTATCTAATATGATATTACAATAAGGTCGTGTTTAATACCTCGGTGGTTTACTTCTTTGTAAATGTCAGGTTTACATCGGTTCATTTTCAGCTGGAATGGGTGCAATTCCCTGGGTTATAATGTCCGAGGTAAACTCTAATGTTCATTCAGGAAAAAACATCGAGTTAAATCGATGCTGCACTGGTACTGTACAGCGAGTTATAACGAAGCACGTATTGACTTAATTTTCTATGATTGCTGCTGTTGGGTTTGCAGATTTTCCCACTCAACCTGAAGGGACTCGCTGGGGGAATTGTGACATTGGTGAACTGGTCTGGTTCTTGGCTCATCTCCTACACTTTCAACTTTCTTATGGTTTGGAGCTCTCATGGTAAGACTCTAAAGAAAACCTTGGTCTATCACTTGGATCGAGAGATAACTAGTTAAGAGTCGGATCAAACAAGCCTATTATGAACTTGCTTATGCATTTTTGGTTTGATTTCCAATCTAAGCTTATGAGAAATCGGTTTGGAATGATTGAACCAAAATATCCACTTACATTTTTCTTATCTGGGAAGAACTCGATTTATAACTTACAGTCATTTCGTTATTAGAATAAGATTTTTGATAATATCTGAAGATTGGTCTGTTTGGTCTCAGGCACATTCTTCATATATGCTTTGGTTTGTGCACTGGCTCTTGTTTTCATCATCAAGCTGGTGCCGGAAACAAAAGGCAGAACTTTGGAAGAGATTCAAGCTTTGGTGAAGTAGATTGGATTTCAAATCCATAACACCAGAAAGGATTCAGAGAGTTGTTTCAGCTTGTTGTCATTCATGCCAATTATAACGAGCAAATGAACTTTTTGATTACTTCATTTTTTTTTGTAGTTCAGTTATTTATTCATAATATTCTTTTTGTAAAATAACGAACTTTATGGTTGTTAATAATATTTACGTCTTCAAATTACGACAAAATGACTTCGTCTCAGCATCTTTACATATGAAAACAAAAAAAAAAAAATTTAAAATATGCTCGCTACATGATCTAATTCGTATTAACGAATGATACGAGCCTATGAATTATTTAGGATTAAAATACATATTCGATCTCAATTTAATCATTGTCTTAATTTTACGTTAATTTAATCTATAAACTTTCCAAAATAATTGAATTAATAAATTTTTATTTTAATGTCTTAACACAAGTAACTTTAAGTGTTATGTATAATATTGATTTACACTTGATATTTTTTAATTGATCATAATTTAAAAAAATAACATGTGAACCAGTTTAGAGCAGTACATAATTAAAAAAAAATAACTCCATTAAAAAAAATGTGACGACCTTTAGCAATCTTTTTCTGCTTAGTTTCTATAATTTTAGTCTTTAAAAAATTAATTATTATTTTTATTTATCTGTCTCGTTATTACGGAGTTATTGTAAACTTTATTAATAAATCATACGAGTTAATAGATCGTCAGATTCAGTTGAGAGTATTGAGTAAAATTTATGTCAAATAATTATTGGTTCCAGCAGCCTAATTACATAAACAAATTCTTATTACGGGTGGAGAATAAATACTTCTAGGCTTTTTGAATTATTATATTTTTTAGTGTTTCAAGTTTATATAATATGCTTTAATTTTGAAAAATATTTGGATTAATTGATTTTTCTTCTAACTATTAAAATTAAGAAACTTTAAGATATTTTGTAAAATTATAAAATTTAAGCTACTATTTTCATTAAATGACAAAAAAAAACTAATTTTTTAATTAATAAATTACTAATTACTATTGAACTGAATGATTGAAATAAAAATAATTAAATAAAATTTTTAATTAAATAATAATATTTGGCCAAAAAATTTAATTAAAATATTAAAATTTTAGTTAAATTTCAATTTAAATTTTGAATTCCAAGTACTACACAATTTCGTCATTTGTGAAATGTGCTAATGGCGGATATATTCGCGCGCGCACATACCACAGTTTTAGCCTTTCGTCTCAAATATTGACGACCAGAGGAGTTTTAGGGGCAGCGCTACGATACTGGAAGGGAAAGTGTAAGCATGCATATCCACTACTTCTATCTTAATTTTATTCGGATTGAATTACGTCTTCAATTTTAGTATTTGGATTAGTTTGGTGTCGTAAACTTGCAGGTAATGTGGATTTCAAATGCACATATTTTCGTCGTTGGCCGGCTCTGCCATCGCATTTTTTACGGTTAATTTTCTTTCAGTTTTTCTCTACTTCCACTTGTTTTCTTTTCGTTTTCGCTTCTTGAATTTCATAATTTGTCTATAAAACTTTACTTGGACTTCGATGGCGGAGTAGTTCGAATTCCAAAGTTGCTCGGTCAATTGTTTGGTATATATCAGTTCAGTTATTCTGCATTTGTGCGGTGTATATTCTGTGGTGCTTGGGTTTGAGGGATTACGCTAATCTTATTATTTATATTCTGCCTGTTTATTAGTTGCCGTATCTTATTTGCTTGTTTGATTTTATCCTTACACAAGTTCTTGCTTAGCAGAGTCGGGAAACGACTCTGTAAGATATGAAGATTATATACTGAATTGTAGAGAACAACTTTTATGCCATAAGTTTTTTCTTGACCCAGTAATTAACAGACGAGAAAGTATGCTATGTCAATGTAGCATTACCACGTCAAGCTTGTGCTGATCAACTGCTTTTCTTTTAATGTTCAGTGTAACCTTACTAGGGAGCTTTGTAAATTGAACTTGGAAGGCTAATAATAGGAGTGGGAATGGGACTTATTACCTATGAGGTATGTGAACTGCAATACCTATAGAGGTTCATTTACATATTTAAAACCAACATTTCCTTGACTGAGAAGTTCTATAATTATTGGTGTTTTTTTGTTGCATGTAGTTCCAACGTAATAGGCACCTTGTGTACTGTGGAAATCACACCCAAGAGCTTCAGGGATCGTTTGCAGACTCTTCTGTGGTAAAAGAGACTATATAAAAAAATAAATTTACTATTGGTTGAACTTTTTAGCTTTTACTTCTTCTTGATGTACTTGCCATTTTCTGATAATTACTTCACAGTTTATGACAGGAACCAGGGTATCAGCTGCCTATCTCCTTTGGTTCTGTCACCACTTGGCACATCTTGGTTAAACTTTTCCTTGTTTTCTATCTAGTTAATTCTGTAGTGATAGGATTCCATGTGTTTGATGCAGGCTCCTATTTGGTTTTAGCTTCCTGGCGCCTTTCCATGTCTAGTGGAGTTTCTTGGTCTGTTCTTCATACCTGAGTCTCCTAGATATCTGGTCAGTCCAATATGAACTCTTTGGAGATTGTCGTTTGTGTTAGAATATAATATAAATCATAAGTTAGAAAATGCAAAAATGGGCAGATATCTGGGGAAAGTATGCTGATATATCCCAGGAAGCAGTTGAAATAAAAGTGATTCTGCATTTTCTTAATGAAACTGTAGCCGCTAAACATGGTCCAAAAACTTTATTTCACATGGAAACTGAAGCAAGATATCTTTAATTTGTTTATGCAGAACTACCTCAAAAACCAGTATTGGTGCAGCTCAGAACATAGATTTTCAGTTATTTAAGGAAATATATTCTTCTGTAGGTATTGTTTGATCAAGCCTAATCAGATTGTTTCCTTCATTTCCACTATGTACTTTTCTTTTTCAAAAATAAGTGGCTCCAAAAACAGCCACGTCCTTTAGAACCCAAAGAAGACTGGTTGCGTCAAGCTTGGGCCAAGGCTGTGGAAATTCTAAATTTTTTGGGCTTGCCTTTTTAGGGTGTTCGGGTTCTTGTGCTTGGGTCGGATTTAAACAGGCCTTTGAGGGCCAAGAAAAGATTGAATAACGTTTGTGTTTTAAAAGACATTTAAAGCTAGGCTCTGGTTTAAATTGGGCTTAAAGAATTAATTTGGGGTTTAAAATAGCGATCCGAACTTAAATTCTTAACTTAAACGGGGATTTTGAAATAGTTATGTTTCCAAAGTTTATAGTTTTTTTTTGTAAAGAGAGAATTAGTCAATAAGATATGAAATTAAGTCATATAGTAATAATAAGAATAATAATGGTAACAATGGCTTGGATAGAAATAAACGTAGGTATTTGAGGCTTGAGTTAATTTTCTGACGAAAATTAAGTTACAGGCAAATTTTGGTATGTAAAAAATATCATGTAGGGTTCGATCATTGCATAGTTTTATGGTACCTTTATGTGTTGAGTACCTTAAAGTTCTATCGGGTAAAGAAACAGGTACTGCAGGTTCTAGTTTAATAGTTTTAGTAAGAAAGCTAAAACATGACATGTTTGTGATGTTGCACCTGTATCGATTATCCATGTACCTGTATCGTTCGAGGTGTGTAAAAAGTAGTAGTTAGATTGTTTTCATATATTTACTGATATTCTTTTGTATAATGTTGGTTATTTCTGCATTCCAGCATGCTGCGATCGGTGTTTCGTCTTTAGTGTCACTGGAGCTTTGAAACATCATTTGCTTTTTCTTAGCCACTTTTTCCTTTAAGTTCTGTGAACCATTCAGGATAGCCGTAGAGTTTGAAGCATGTGTCCCTAGCGTATCATGTGTTTTTGCAATGAGTGCATATTCTGTTGTCTTTGTCATTTTCTCGGTTATGTGGCCTTAGAGTTTCCTTTGGGTTAGCACAAAAAACGGCCGACATCCCTTCAGATACATTACTGATTTGTACTTCTTTTTTTTTTTTTCAACACTGACTACCATAGAGTAAGCTTTGTTAACAGTGAGTAATGGTTCTATAATTAAGATTTGGTTTCTCATATGATCGAATGTGTCATTAAGATCTATCAGAAATTGAATCAAGTTGTTTGTGTCGTCTATTTCACTATGCAGATTAGCAGCACTGCAGGTACATGCAGTGAATGGTTTTAAATAATTCAGTCATCCCAAAGTTTTTTTAATTATGTAACATAAGCAACGAACAAAAGACTTGATTGAGTAATGGAATTAATTTCTCGTTTTAATTAATACAGCAATGAACCGTTGTTTTCTCCATACCTTTCTTTGATTTCATCCCACAAATATTTTTGCATATGTGGTGTATAGGAAGGTGCTGGCGCCTTGGTCATTGAGTTGAGGATCCAAGACACCACCATGCTATCTACCTTTTGCCAATGTTCATATTCTGCTGTGTCAGGGGCTGATTTCTCAAATCTGCCATCAACAAGAGCTAACTTATCTTTAGCACTTAGATTAATCATCATCGCTCTACTCCAAAAGAGGTAATTAGAGCCATCAAGAGGTGCGGAGACCAGTTGCATTCCGGGCTTATATGAGCTTTGGAGGTTCAGCATGTCGGTAGTAGGATTTGGGTTTGGATTAGCCATTGTAAGGTTAGATTAGCGGTAAAAGATAGAGTTTATTATCTTTTAGGCCCAAGAAAAGATTGGATGAGGCATGTGTTTTAAAAGACATTTAAAGCTAGGCTCTGGTTTAAATTGGGCTTAGAGAATTAATCTGGGGTTTAAAATAGCGATCCAGACTTAAATTCTAAACTTAAATGAGAATTTCAAAAGAGTTGAGTTTTCAGATTTTATAGTTCTTCTTTTTAAAGAGAGAAGGATTAGTCAATAAGATATGAAACTAATTCATAGAGTAATAATAAGAATAATAATGGTAACAATAGTTTTGATAGAAAGAAACGTAGGTATTTGAGGCTTGAGTTAATTTTTTGATGGAAATTAAGTTACATGCAAATTTTGGTATGTAAAGAACATCATGTAGGGTTAGGTTATCGCAT